ATATAGTAAGTACCAGGTACTTACCATAGAAACTGGCCCATAATAAGACAAAGGACTTACCCATAAGTACTAGTGATACCAGTAATTATATAGTATACCATGTACTTACCAGCAAGTACCAGGTACTTACCAGCAAGTACCAGGTACTTACCAGCAAGTACCAGGTACTTACCAGCAAGTACCAGGTACTTACCAGCAAGTACCAGGTACTTACCAGCAAGTACCAGGTACTTAACAGCAAGTACCAGGTACTTAACAGCAAGTACCAGGTACTTACCAGCAAGTACCAGGTACTTGCTGGTAAGTACATGGTATACTATATAATTACTGGTATCACTAGTACTTATGGGTAAGTCCTTTGTCTTATTATGGGCCAGTTCCTATGGTAAGTACCTGGTACTTACTATATAATTACTGGTGTTATCACTGGTACTTATGTTAAAGTCCTTTGTCTTATTATGGGCCAGTCCCTATGGTAAGTACCTGGTACTTACTGTATAATTACTGGTGTTATCACTGGTACTTATGTTAAAGTCCTTTGTCTTATTATGGGCCAGTCCCTATGGTAAGTACCTGGTACTTGCTGGTAAGTACATGGTACTTGCTGGTAAGTACATGGTATACTATATAATTACTGGTATCACTAGTACTTATGGGTAAGTCCTTTGTCTTATTATGGGCCAGTTCCTATGGTAAGTACCTGGTACTTACTATATAATTACTGGTGTTATCACTGGTACTTATGTTAAAGTCCTTTGTCTTATTATGGGCCAGTTCCTATGGTAAGTACCTGGTACTTACTATATAATTACTGGTGTTATCACTGGTACTTATGTTAAAGTCCTTTGTCTTATTATGGGCCAGTCCCTATGGTAAGTACCTGGTACTTACTATATAATTACTGGTGTTATCACTGGTACTTATGTTAAAGTCCTTTGTCTTATTATGGGCCAGTCCCTATGGTAAGTACCTGGTACTTACTGTATAATTACTGGTGTTATCACTGGTACTTATGTTAAAGTCCTTTGTCTTATTATGGGCCAGTCCCTATGGTAAGTACCTGGTACTTGCTGTTAAGTACCTGGTACTTGCTGTTAAGTACCTGGTACTTGCTGGTAAGTACCTGTTACTTGCTGGTAAGTACCTGGTACTTGGCTGGTAAGTACCTGGTAATGTGTAATTCTTGTTACTTGGGTTGGGTACCTAGTTCTTGCAGTGTTTCCCTTGTCCTTGAAACTTGTTTTGAAATATGCATTACATGTATTTATACTGTCCTTTCTGTGCTACTTATTCCATATTAATAAAGACGTTTGTTTTACATAATGTTGTTTTATGTTTTATAGTCAAACAATCCTACAAATGACCTCTGTATGTATGTATGTAGAAGTACCACATTTACTACATAGGAATAATACTGTAGTGTCCTTGAATTACTAAGTTACAGCTGTATCTAGAATTATCACAATAAGTACCTAGAAGTACCACTGTAAGTACCACAATAAGTACCTCTAAGTACCACTGTAAGTACCTAGAAGTACCACTGTAAGTACCACAATAAGTACCTAGAAGTACCACTAGAAGTACCACTGTAAGTACCTAGAAGTACCTAGAAGTACCACTGTAAGTACCACTGTAAGTACCACTGTAAGTACCACTGTAAGTACCACCGTAAGTACCACCGTAAGTACCACCGTAAGTACCACCGTAAGTACCCCTGTAAGTACCACCGTAAGTACCACCGTAAGTACCACCGTAAGTACCACCGTAAGTACCACCGTAAGTACCTAGAAGTACCACTGTAAGTACCTAGAAGTACCACTGTAAGTACCACTGTAAGTACCACCGTAAGTACCACCGTAAGTACCACCGTAAGTACCCCTGTAAGTACCACCGTAAGTACCACCGTAAGTACCACCGTAAGTACCACCGTAAGTACCACCGTAAGTACCACCGTAAGTACCACCGTAAGTACCACTGTAAGTACCTAGAAGTACCACTGTAAGTACCTAGAAGTACCACTGTAAGTACCATGGACTTACCGGCCCGTAATGTAAAGTGTTACCGAACTATTGTACATATTTTTAGTGGTAGGGGAAACCGGAGTACCCGGAGGAAACCTACGCAGACACAGGGAGAACATGCAAACTCCACTCAGAAAGGCCCTGGTCCGGCCGGGATTCGAACCCAGGACCTTCTTGCTGAGAGGCGAGAGTGCTAACCACTCAGCCACCGTGACGCCCAACAAATGAACTGTGAAAAACGAGAACTATTTATCCTGCAGTCCGTGGATATGACGGGTTTAAAAAATATAAATATTAAAAAAGACAGTTTGGGAAAAGTTTGGTGCTTCATTTTAAGCGCAGTCACAACAGTGCACTAAAGCGGTTGTGTATGTACGGTGCATTAAAAACAGCTAACCACTCTTTGCCTTCCTAATTTGTTTTAAATACTAAAAGAACCACAAAGGAACTCTGGGGCTTCCTGATGTTCTGAGGTTTATTTGATGAATTAAACTCTCTGCACACTTACAGGCAAATGCTTGTTCATGTGTAGGATATGTGCCCATGTTAGAACTGTAACTGGACATTTGGAAAGTGCTTAATTGGAAAATGGGTCGTTGAGCGTCTTTATCATCAAACCAGCACAAATGGCACATTAGAATATTAAATTTAATGTAGCGAGTCCTGATTAAACTCCTCTGTCCCGTTTTAGGTGAATTGCGTTTTAGGTGAATAAAAATATTGCAATGGAAAAAAAGGGTGTTGAGAAGAAGGAAGCGTTTAATGAACAAATCTGTATTGTGCCTTGGTTTATAGTAATTAGACTGAAAGGGAACATTGAAAATTAGGATTGGTGCACAGCAGACTTGCATCTAATCACACTCTGTGCTAACGAGGGACTTTGGAAAATAATGTGAATATATAAAAGATAGTGCATACAAAGGAAAAATGTAGTTGAGATTATTGACGTGGCAAATTCAGCTCAATTTATCTGTTTTGTTACTCTATATGAGTGAAAAAAACCTGCACTAATAATGACACTATTTCTGATTGCCACTTTTAAATTGTACATAATGTAGGGTAACTACTTATATTTATGTGGTATAATTACTTATTAGAGAAGAATAGTGCGGCTGCTCCAAATCAGAGTCTGGCCGTCCTATTCGAGTGGGGGATCTGCTTATATTTATTTAGGCACCAGCAGTATATGAAACACTGCACAGATCCAAACCAATTTGCCTCGAATCAGTCTTATGAATCTAATAGGTAGTGAATACGTAAAATCTGCCAGTGATGTCCTGTATTTATAAACACGACGCTCGGAGGATGGAGTTACAGTGTTAACATGGTTTATTGACTACAAAGATGAAGATAAAAATATAACGAAAGGGATTCCTGGTCACATTTAAGCAGGAGTTGTACACATTTCATTCAAATCATACATCGAACAAGGAACAGTCTTACTTTTGAGCCGTTCAGAGGGAGATGGGTGGTTAGAATGAGGATGGAGATGGAGGGTGAGAATGAAGAATAGGATGGAGGCGATGTCCTCGTCCACGTGGTCTTTGTTCGAACAGGGAGCCGGAGGAGGCCAGCAGATCGGATCCAGGCGTGGGTTCCACACACAACACAGTCTAGAATAGCGTTGCGGTGGGGCGTTCCAAGGAGCCCGAAAGTGGCTGGCGATAGAAGGTCCTCGTCTCCGACAGCGAGAGTGGTTGCTGTCCTCGTGGATGTACAGGCCCGAGATGGTGGCGGGCGTAGGCCGTGTAGGGGACACGTACCAAACAGGATGGTTGGTATGGTGGTTTCGGGGGAACCAAGAGAAAGAGTTGTTGCGTTGTGAGAGTTTATATTGACTTCTGAAGGGGGCGCGTCCTTTGACGTCATCCATGTGCGACAGCCTCCTCACAACAGGCGGTTTATCAAGGAAAAACACGCAAGATCAATACAGCCACCCATAACACATCGTACAAACACACAGTGCATTTACATCACAGACATCAACACACACGAGTAAGGTCCGTAACGTTATCGACATAATATCACAGAGTAATGTCCTTTTCGAGCGTCCGTCTCGGGTGCAGTAGTGTCCAGTGTCCGCTAGGGAGCGCCAGAGCGCCGCGGGTGAATCCCGGCGTTTGTGGAATGTCTCCGTGGGTGACAATGGTTGGTTTGTATAACGAAAGGGGCACCCAGATGGGTGTCCCGCTGTTTTATTGGTCCGACTGGCGTCTGTAATCCTCATGATTGATGACGCCTTGTGGCTGACCCCCATGGCTCCTTTGAAGCCGTGGTGAGGTATCTCTCCATTTGGTCAATGGTTCACAGGGCGTCCAGGCCTGGCCGGCCCTGTCCTCCATTTAACCTTACAACAATATATCCTGCGTTTAACGTGTTTGCACATTTCCTCTTTTTGCACAGCCTTGAGTGTTTCTATCCATGCCAAATGTGACGTGTACATTTCTCCTGTGTGAGATAAATAATGATAAGATAAACCTTTATTAGTCTCACAGTGGAGAAATGTCAGTGTCATCGTTGCACATTACAGCAGAGAAAGGAAATAAGAGCACTCAGATTGCACACATCAAAGTCTATTATTTAAGATAATAGACAATAAATTTAAGATAAAATGAAATAAAATAAAATAAGATAAACTCTGGACTATAATTGCACTTGGTTCGGAGTATTTACAGATGTCTATATTATACATTAGCAGCGGAGAATATGAGAATATGAGCAGAATAAACATCAGAAATAATATCAACAGGTAAAGTGACTTGAAAGGCAGAATTATCAGATATGTAAGCATAGAAAAGCATATCTTGTGTATCATAGATTGAGGAAACGTGTATATTTGAATAAAATATTGTCCAGAATAGGGTTTGCCAACGTACATCACTCAACATTGTGTCGAAGGAAAACAACAGTACCACAAACTATCCCTCACTGACAGATCGAACACCGCAGAGATCTGTGGCAGAGTGTGCTCATTTCAACATGAGACAAAACTGTTCTAACAGCGGCTCTGACGGCTCCACAGACGGCTCCACAGACGGCTCCTCTGACGGCTCCTCAGACGGCTCCACAGACGGCTCCACAGACGGCTCCACAGACGGCTCCTCTGACGGCTCCTCTGACGGCTCCACAGACGGCTCCACAGACGGCTCCACAGACGGCTCCACAGACGGATCCACAGACGGCTCCACAGACGGCTCCACAGACGGCTCCACAGACGGCTCTTCTGACGGCTCCTCTGACGGCTCCACAGACGGCTCCACAGACGGCTCCACAGACGGCTCCACAGACGGCTCCTCTGACGGCTCCACAGACGGCTCCTCTGACGGCTCCACAGACGGCTCCTCAGACGGCTCCACAGACGGCTCCACAGACGGCTCCACAGACGGCTCCACAGACGGCTCCACACACGGCTCCACAGACGGCTCCACAGACGGCTCCACAGACGGCTCCACAGACGGCTCCACAGACGGCTCCTCTGACGGCTCCACAGACGGCTCCTCTGACGGCTCCACAGACGGCTCCACAGACGGCTCCTCTGACGGCTCCACAGACGGCTCCTCTGACGGCTCCACATTATGCTCAACCAGATCAGTTCATTCAGATGTTCTCTCCAGTGAGGGTTACAACATTGTATCAAATGTACTTTATGTTAACTCAAACATAGGGGAAAACAGGAGAAACAATAATAATAACAATAATACATCAAAACAAAAACAAACAAATAAAGCTAGGGACACAGGAGACGTGGGAGATGCCCTTGGACAGTACCCCTGCATCAAGACAACATCCCACAGTCTCCTTTTTAATGCACCACTTTAGACACATCCCAAACTGAGACAAAAATAAGAAGGGAAAATAGGGGCAATGAGGGTGATGGGTGGATGCACAAATTTGGGAAAATAGGAACACACACACACACACACACACACACACACACACACACACACACACACACACACCTGTCTGTCTTGTTATATTTGTTTGTATGTCTGCACTTGTTTTGTAATGTCTATTTTTTCACAATAAAAAAAAATTCAAAAAAAGTACTTTGTTTGTTGAGTTGATTTTTGTACTTGGAAAACACTTCATTAATAACCAGTGATGTGAGTGTGGAAAAAGTAATGAGATACAAATTACTAGTTACTTCCAAAAAAAGTTATTGGTTACATAATGTAGTTTCTTCAAGAAAGTAACTAAGACTCTGTGTTACAAAAAAGAGAACAGAATCATGTTTGTACGTTTGCTTTATTAAAGTAATTTATATAAAGGTTAACTACAAAAGCTGAACATTAACACAGAAGTAAATGACTGAAGTAACCCGGACACTTCCTGCTTTAGCACTTCTCCAGACGTTTACAAATATTTTTTCTGTCCAATCCATCCGCACTTTGCTTTTTACGTAAAATGTTTGTGAAAGACAGTGACTCTGAAGAAGTAGCATTTCTTCAACATTTAAACATTTAAATTACATGGTTGAGTTTCATTTCTTAAGTATTGGTGTTATTTCTGTATCAGCCAATACTTGAAAGGTGTCTGTAAAGTCAGTACTTTACTTAAGCTAATACACAAACTGAGGCGGGTTTAACTTGAGTACGCTTTTATGACATGTTCAGCAGCCATCGTGTGTTAGCAGTGTGCACATGGGACAGAGCACGTGGGTGTGAGGTCTTCTTTGCAGGTAATGTCCACAGGTTTTGGTTTTAATCAATAACTTTCACTCTTCACGTGATGTGCATGTGTTGAATTGTGTCAAGTGTAGTCGTAAAATAAGACTAATGGGGTAAACGTGTGTAATTTGTCGTGTGAATTGAGTGTGAGAAGCATTTTTGAGTATGGCCAAATGCACCTCATCCGTGGCGGTCTCCAGTGATACAGGGGTGATGCAGTCAGAGCGTGGCGGATGTTCCCACGGACCCGCTCACTCCTCTGTGGCGGTCTCCGGTGATGCTGGGTCCACCTCTGGTGCTATGAGGAGCGTGGCCCAAACGTCACCGGAGACCCCAGCGGAGGTGTGCGCGGGCCCAGGGGAACATCCACAGCTGCGGTCAGCGGGGGATATAACTGACAGACCTGCACAGACATTTTTTGGCTATCAATATAATTCAATACAAGGTTTTTACTCATCCGTGGTCTATAGTGAGGCACATATTTTGTCCAATGAGAATCATGTATAGGTTTAGTTTGAAGCAAAACCATTTTGACATTTAAACTTTTTGTTTTCTTTTTTTTTAAACCAAACTGATTGGCATTCTGATGCAGTGGCCCTGTAAGTGTTGCAGTTTTGTGGCTGACAAAATGGGTTACTGACTAAAGAAACCACAATCGCATTCTGATCACTACGATGGAACAAACTTTTTCTTATCGTAGACAGGAAATTATCAAGACTGTAGTCAAGGACCTGCTTGAAAGATGCCCAGCACTCTTCACTGGAAGACGGGTAAGTTCAATCTATGCCACGTGTCTCATGTTTATAGAATTGACTTTCATTGGTCTACTCTGAGTTTTCCAGAATAACAAGCCAAAACTTAGAAATTGACTTTTTTGATGCTATGGACCAACATAGTACTAGACTGATGGAAATGTTCCACACAAAAAAGGTGTAGTTGGATAGAAACTATCAACAATAATACAGAGGGAGAATCGAGTACAGAAGTCAGTTGCAGCACAGCGACTGAGGGAGATGTTCCCCGGCCTTCTGCCTTGTGTTTGCCCTGACGTACGCCTGTCACTTGGACACTTTCAGGTGCGTCCAGTGTGTAATGCTTGAACTAGGAAAGCAAACTCTACCATCAAAACTATTAAGTCTGAAGAACTACCTTTTGGCATAATTTGTTGGCTGTTTTCATGTTAGCCATTGCATTTGATGTTTTACAGATATTTTAAGTACTTTAAAGACCTTATGACGGGTTTAAAAAAAAAAAGTGGATATCAAAATTGCATGACAATGTCAATTTGAAAGAGATTCCGGCAAAAATCCTATATTTTATAAAAAGAAGGTGTTTTTCATGAATTTAAGTTGTCTATGCTCTAACCTGTGTGTGACGTCACAGCGGGTAACGCCCATGCATTGAAAACCATGGATCTATGCCACAGGACTGCCTTTTCTCTCTTCTCTCCACTGATGCCCAACACAATACTGCCCTCTACAGGTGACAATTGCTCACTACACATAAATAGAAGTACTACTAAGTAGTATTTATTGATACAGCACTTTATTAAAGGAGCACTGTGTAACTGGTAGAGTTTTTAGTCTGCCACCTCTGGTGTTTTGTGTAACTGCATCCAAGTGGGTGCATGTGCGTATACTTGGACGTTTATAACTGAGTCTCCGTCTTTCCTTCTAATCAAGAGAAATGCCAAATGAGGATTATGTTTTTTCATGCGAGGGAGGCTCATTGCGTCACTTTCGCTTACAGTGTGTGACAAAGCTCCCCGAGATCAACACGTCCATGCCCGAGATACATTCCCTGTATCACTGAAGCTCATAGAAGCAATAACAGTGACACACCAGACAACTGCTGAGGGACTAGATGCAACATATAGAATTTTTGCCTTTTTTAACTTACTCAATAACAAGCACTAATTTTTTGTAATTTTTTTTTGGTATGACTCTACAAGGAAGGTTGACATTTGTATAAGGTTGTGAAAAGTGCTTTATGACACGTTTGTTTGCGAAAAAATTAATCTTGTTCTGGTCTCATCAAATAGTTTTTTATTTACATACAGATGGGATTGTCTTGTACAATAATGGGTTATGTGAAGGAGTAGTCCCCACTCCTCACCCCTCAGGTGTATCCTTCCTGTTTTATTTACAAATATTTTGCTTGGTTTATTTTCCCCTGTCCATAACGTGTCCCTTTTCTTATCTTGGAAGGTGATTGGTGGAGGTGCTGGGCTGGAGGCGCGCCCATCCCAGTGCATGCCAGGTGCACCCAACTGAGCAATCAGCTGGGCTCCACCATGATCCTCCAAGAGAGAGGGGTGTTTCATTTGGACTGGACATAATTAAAACATAATTAAAATACCACAACTGCTAAATAAAACCAACACTAATTGTATATCATTATACATCATTATTATAACATATCTGCATAAATTACAAATGTAAATAGTTGTGTAAATGATGTAATTAGTGTAGGCCTAAATAGTTGTGTCCCTGGGTGGGTGGAGGTTTTAATTAGCCAAATTAGCCCATGTGAGTGATGTGTTCATTAACATGTACTGTCCCAACCAAAAAAACAATAAACAATTGGTCACTGTATAAAAGAGGAAGATTCCATTCTGTTGTGTGTTCCTGTTGTATGCATGGGGGGGACGCTGCCCAAACATCGGAGCTGACGCTCTCCGACCTGGAGCCTGCCGAGAGCGCTGTGAGGGTCATGTTTTTTGCCTAATCCAGTGCTTTCTACACCATCAGACCGTCCTCCATCTTCCCCCGCAGAAAGTAACCTGACTGGACCATCCTCTTGGGCCGACTGCGGCTGCGCAGCTGTGACTCTGAGGTCTGCAGTACTGGGGCCCCTCAGGGCACTGTCCTCTCATCTTTTCTCTACTCCATCATACGACAAACACAGCTGTCACCTGCAGAAGTTTTCAGACGGCTCAGCCATCGTGGGCTGTGTGTCTGAGGGGAACGAACTGGAATACCGGTCGGTTATCACAGACTTTGTCGACTGGTGCGAGAGCAACCACTCGTGCTTGAACACCAGTAAGACCAAGGAGATGGTCATCAACTTCAGGAGAAAACCTCCATCTCACACGGCGCTGAACATCCAGGGGAAGGACATTGGTGGGAAGCTGGTGGACAGCTTCAAGTACCTGGGTGTTCGGGCAGCACAGAGCAGGACAGAAGCAGACTGAACAAGTTGGTCAGGAGGGAGGTGAGGGACAGGAGGCCCCTGGACTCTATGGAGGAGGTGAGGGACAGGAGGCCCCTGGACTCTATGGAGGAGGTGAGGGACAGGAGGCCCCTGGACTCTGTGGAGGAGGTGAGGGACAGGAGGCCCCTGGACTCTATGGAGGAGGTGAGGGACAGGCCCCTGGACTCTGTGGAGGAGGTGAGGGACAGGAGGCCCCTGGACTCTGTGGAGGAGGTGAGGGACAGGAGGTGCTAGTCAAAGCCACCTCCATCATGGACAACACCTCCCACTGCACAGGACATCATAAACACCAGAGTCCTGATCATGTTGGAGCTGTTTCCCAACAGACCCAGTAGGAGACCACACTGGACACCAGGGTAATAAAAGAGAAAATAATTTTCACTCTTAGAGCGCCCTTCACAGTTATTGGCTCACAAGGCGCTTTACAACTTAAAAAGAGACAGTTAAAACACATTCATAAAATACAATTACATGCACGGATTCCTCAAACAGATGTAATCTTCCAACTTTAAGCACACACACAGACACACACAGTTTGTCGTGTGTTAGTTTTCATTCTCCGGCGGGGTAGAGGTGAAACCACCAAAAATTTCACTTTAAGGCCCTGTCCACACGAAGTCAAGCTCAGGCCTAAACGCAAAAATACTTTATCAATCCAGTGTATCGTCCATACGAGGCCGGCGTTTTGGGGGGGTGTAAACGAACATTTTTGAAACTAGGTCCCAGAGTGGAAAGATTTCAAAACTCCGTATATGCCGCTCCGTGGTTACTGCCTCTCCGCAATGTATCTGAGACGCTTGCGTCATCGCCCCGCCTCTTGTTAAAGCACGCATGCGCCGCACTCAGAAAATAATGACAACAACAATGTAGCTTGTTGGTTTTGTAATCCAGTGTGACCCGAAGCAACAGTTCAACCTCATCGTCCGTCCATACTAATGTAGTACCAGCTCGCCCACTCGCCATGTTGTCTGTTTACAAAATTCCGCGCATGCCCAGTTCCCGTCACGGAAGTTTGGGCTTGATCCCGTCATTGCGTCACAGCGCCACCAACAGGTCTGGCATAGTTTCACAGCGTTTTCAGGCGTATTGACTACATTCATATGGACGCACACATTTACTGAGCTAACTCCGTGTTTACAGAAAAAGTTTCTGAAATTATAAGCGTTTTGTCTTCGTGTGGATATAGCCTAAGTGAGTGTGGGCGACAGTAGCTCAGTTGGTAGAGCATTGGCATTTAAGCCAGAAGGTCATGGGTTCTAGCCCACCTCAAGACTCTCACCATCGACTCCCACTGTCTGCTGTCGTTGTGTCCTTGGGCAAGACACTTAACCTCTGGGAACACCAGCCACAGTGGGGCGGCTGCGGCTGTAAAGTGCCAAACTGCCGTTGTGTCCTTAGGCAAGACACTTTATCATCATTGCCTAGAATGAGTCTGGTGTGTGTGTGAATGGTTGGTGGTGGTGGGAGGGGCCGATGGCACAGACTGGTTGCCTCGCTTCTGTCAGTGTGCCCCAGGGCAGCTGTGGCTACAGTAGTAGTTTATCACCACCGTGTTTGGAGAGAAAGAATAATGACTGTGAATGAATGTGAAGCGTCTTTGATTTGCATTTTTTAAAAGCAAACTGTGGTTCACAAGGGACCTAAGTGTGAACGCACTCTTAATTTATATTTATTCCATTTGACGTTTAATAGATACTGATTGGAAGACCTGATATTGCGACACGGAACATTATTTGTGCTGAAGGTCGAAGAAGTAGCCTGGAGCACAAAGCAGAGATCTCAGTTTGTCTGTTAATCCTGTACTGCACCAAGGAAGAATGATTTGCACAAACATACAGCCTACTCTGCATTTTCCAGTCCAGCTTTTGTCCACATTCAATCCAGGACACTTGTAGAAGGACACCAGAAGGATCTATTGTTTTGAGTTTGGACCAAGGCTTTTGATTGGTTAATTACATAGACATTCATGATATTACTGATATTGCTGATTAAGGACAGACTCAGACAAAAACTTAATTTAGTCAGAGAATTACTGATGATCCATCCATCCATCCATTTTCTACCCTTTAATCCATTTCTGGGTCAGGGGGGTGGCAGTCAGAGATGCCACCCAAGTCTCATAGCACCAGCCCCTCACTGACCCTCTGCAGGTGGTGAGTCCACAGGAGGACGGCTGCTCTCTGACTGTGAGCATAGCCTTGATCTTTCAGTGGGGGCTTTGGGCAGAGTGGGGTTAAGTGTCTTGCCCAAGGACACAACAACAGCAGTCATCAGTGGGAGTCGGTGGAGAAGGTGCAGAGGTGGGAATTGAACCCACAACCTTCTGGGCTTAAGGCCAATGCTCTACCAACTGAGCTACTTTGATACTACTGGCTGATGATATTGTTCTTTAATGAGTGATCAAGATAACCAGCCTCACAGTATTCTCACATTTATCATCTGAAAAAGTGAAGAAATTAAGTTGCATTTAGTAAAATGTCAACAATTACACCAGTGCAGTGGACCAGCTATGACCTAGTATGACTTGTTCTGCCTCCTGTCAGTTTTTTTAAGAACAGCTCGTGTGGCACTGTCCTGAAACTGCACTGTCATCTGCATATCCTCTCTAAAGGTAACCTGAGGCTAATTAAATGAAAGTGTTTGAGCTGGCCATAGATGATGATGAGAGCTGAGCAGAAAGGACAAACCTGGATGGGGCTGTTCCGTGTGACAGCAGGAGCCGACGGTGGAACTCCGCGCCTCAGTCATAATGAGAACGGAGACTAAATTTAGATCGTCTTTACAGCGTGCTAATCTCCTGTCCCTGGGAGATCATTTAGTTCAGAAGATTTTTCAACAAAATTGGCTTTTTTCTCCAGCGTTTAACATCAAAAACAAAGCTGGAGTTGGTATTCGCCTCGTCCACGCTTGAATCATTAATCCTGTTTACGAGGTCGTCTTTCGGATTGGTTTTCCCCAGATAGTTTCCTCACAGCAGACACCAAGAATTTAGTTTTGTGTGATTTTATATGCCTGGTAGGTTTGCTTAGTCAGCTTTTAAAGAAAGAATTTGCATGAAAAAAAAAAACTTATTTCTGTTTGGATCTAAATATAAATTCTAAACTATTTTCAACCCACACGACCCTTTAAAGCATATACCAATGTACTAGAGCCTAAAGAAGAAATATTATGCCTTATTTTTGGCCATTAAAAATGATATATATTTTTTTTAATTTAGAAATATGTTGAAACAAGTATGACGGTTAAAATGCTTTCCTCCTATACCTCCCTGTGCTACTAGAGTTTAAATTGTTGTTAAATTGTTAAATTTAAAGAATATCACTCCAATTGTTGAGTTAACTGTCCGATCGACGGTCCTTCCCTCGCCTATGGTCAAGAGTTTTCAGTGACTAAAAGGACAAAATCTTGGAAAGAGCAGAGCTGTGTTTGGATAAAAAAAAAAAAACAGTTGATTTACAAAGGTTTGTCTCATTAACATTGTTTTATTTATTTTAATGTAATAAAAATAATAGCTGACAAACTAATGTTCCTTTAATTTGACGTGCGTGTGTCTGGCCTCAGTGCAGTCTGCTGAGCCCAACTGCTCCACAACAGAAAGAGATAGGCTATGAGTTTCAATTTGAAGTATTCCACACTCGCTGCCTCCTTTATCGGTAGAGGGGATGGCTGCTTTCGGTGAGCGGGGGACTCTGCCGTTTCTCAGTGATTTGGGGCTTAAATTTATGGACAGTTCCCCTGACATGACCCAGAGCCATGCATGAAAGTGGAGAGAACACGCCTTATTCTTCCATTTGGGCGTATAATGCAGCAGAAAACCACTGTCCGGAGTAACCGTTCGACCAAAACCACATCCAATTTGTTTCCTTGTGTAAAAATGAAGTGTTTTGTGAAAGCTGTTACGCTAGTGTTGTCAATTTTGAACATATTGTCAAAGAAATGTGAAATACAAATGATAGTGAATGTAATAAAAATGGCTTCTTGTCTGGGGACAAAGGTAGACCGATGTGGCCCAATATTACATTTTCATAAGGGATGGAAAATATTGTAGTTTTCACCCTTCACTCTGGCTGTAGAAATAAAGCTGGAAAGGCATGTTCAGTTTCCCAGTTTCTACCGCCATCGCATCACCGCACAGCTGTTGCGTTTTGGAAGTTTGCTTATTAAAAATCAGACTGCAGAACAAGTTCTTCTTCACGTATGCAGCTCTGAGGTGTTTCTGGATCCTGAGATTTTTTTTTTTCCATCAGAGATTACAGGAGTATCACCATTTGCTCATGGATCTCTGTCGGATGACCCTTCTTGGCGCAATCATTAGCAGCACTTGTATCCGATCATGGTAGAATATGATTTCAGGGTGAAGGCATATTTCCACAAGCACTGCCTCCCCCATCGACAGTCCTGGTTTAATCCTGGTTTAGCTTTGTTTTGGCTGTTGCAGAATGTTTTCTTCCTCCTGCACTTACAGCATTGAGCTACTCTCTGATTGGTTGCGCAATGTTCACCTCCTGCATTTTGCCGTACACGTGAAACATTAATTGCCGTTTCCATTTTCACTTATACTGTTAATATAAAAGTTATGTTGGGGCATTCTTTTCCGGCTTTCCGTTGGCCTAAGGAGGATGTTCTTGTGGAAGTGGTTATACTGGCGGGTATTGCGTTGTCAAGTTCCACTGCCCACTGCTGGCCGGGCGTTAGAACTACATCGTTTTCACTCGCCATAGACGCTTTGCACTTTGAATGCAGTGTGGGGTCATTTTTTAAGAATCGCTTGGCTGTGCCTCGGCCCTGTGTAAACCCGCTTGGTCGGGTGGGAACGGGGCATGTAACACTAATACTTTTTCACACAATTACAAAATGTATTTATGCTTTTATTCAGAGGATAAATGGATAATTTATCATTCTTTTAGAGCGCATCAAATGGTGACATGTATACAATCACCACTGGTCCCGTCCCACTGGGAGTACCATGGAAGGTGGATGAATGTCGAAAGCCCCAATATCTGCCCCGTACGCGGCTCCGCTGAAGTGCTAACGGCTGCACGTACGAGCACTAATGTGGGCGAGCAGATGGCACCACACTCACCCGCTTTGTTGGGACAAACCCAGGTGCTCCATGGCCTCCAGCAGCTGTCGTAGACCACTGCAAAGATTATGGAGCCATAGCATGTCCGCATAAACTCGACAGGGCATTTTGGAAATCATTGTGTTTATATAGTCACAGCACTGTGGTGGAGTGAGGGTTCTTACCTCTTAGCCAGAGAGAGCAGGCTTCAGTCACACTCATTTAGCTTAAAATTCTTATTATTGTTTGATCTAAAAATACCAAAGACTGGCCATGCTAAACATTTTATTTTATCAAGAGAGAGAGATAATAAATAAATAAGCCTTTTTTTTGAGACAGTAATTGAAAAAGTAAAAAGCCTCATTATAATTTGTAATGATCTAATATTATGTGTAATTTTCTTTCTGATTATTTCTTGGCTCACCAGGAGCAGAAGCTGCTGAATGAACTGATAGACACAGTATGACAGAAGAGCTTTCCACAGTTATGATGCGTAATGACAACAGGATGACACCTGTGAGTCTGCAACACGTCGACACGTGTGAACTTATTCACTTCTAGCTCCTCTCCGCTCTCACTTAAATCACTTCTTGCTCATTGGACTTATCCTCTGTCCTTCATACAGAGCATCAGGATCACCTATTTATGCAAGTTCAAATCCTTATTCATTACCCCTACAGCAATTTTTAAAATAAATAAATAAATAAATAAATTAAATTAAAGTCCGGACTAGTGTAGCACATAGGTATTACAATGTTGATGGAACTAATATTTGTGTTAACTACATGTAATTTATATGGATATTATAATTGTATATACTATAATCATGTATACTAACTAAGCCAAAACACTCACAGGAGAGAGAGAGAGGTGCACTCACAGAAGAGAGAGAGGTGCACTCACAGGAGAGAGAGAGGCGCACTCACAGGAGAGAGAGAGGTGCACTCACAGGAGAGAGAGAGGTGCACTCACAGGAGAGAGAGAGGCGCACTCACAGGAGAGAGAGAGAGGTGCACTCACAGGAGAGAGAGAGGTGCACTCACAGGAGAGAGAGAGGTGCACTCACAGGAGAGAGAGAGAGGTGCACTCACAGGAGAGAGAGGAGAGGTGCACTCACAGGAGAGAGAGAGGTGCACTCACAGGAGAGAGAGAGGTGCACTCACAGGAGAGAGAGAGAAGTGCACTCACAGGAGAGAGAGAGAGGTGCACTCACAGGAGAGAGAGGTGCACTCACAGGAGAGAGAGAGGTGTACTCACAGGAGAGAGAGGTGCACTCACAGGAGAGAGAGAGGTGCACTCACAGGAGAGAGAGAGGTGCACTCACAGGAGAGAGAGAGGTGCACTCACAGGAGAGAGAGAGGTGCACTCACAGGAGAGAGAGAGGTGCACTCACAGGAGAGAGAGAGGTGCACTCACAGGAGAGAGAGGTGCACTCACAGGAGAGAGAGAGGTGCACTCACAGGAGAGAGAGAGGTGCACTCACAGGAGAGAGAGAGGTGCACTCACAGGAGAGAGAGAGGTGCACTCACAGGAGAGAGAGGTGCACTCACAGGAGAGAGAGAGGTGCACTCACAGGAGAGAGAGAGGTGCACTCACAGGAGAGAGAGAGGTGCACTCACAGGAGAGAGAGAGGTGCACTCACAGGAGAGAGAGAGGTGCACTCACAGGAGAGAGAGAGGTGCACTCACAGGAGAGAGAGGTGCACTCACAGGAGAGAGAGAGGTGCACTCACAGAGAGAGAGAGGTGCACTCACAGGAGAGAGAGAGGTGCACTCACAGGAGAGAGAGAGGTGCACTCACAGGAGAGAGAGGTGCACTCACAGGAGAGAGAGAGGTGCACTCACAGGAGAGAGAGGTGCACTCACAGGAGAGAGAGAGGTGCACTCACAGGAGAGAGAGAGGTGCACTCACAGGAGAGAGAGAGGCGCACTCACAGGAGAGAGAGAGGCGCACTCACAGGAGAGAGAGAGGTGCACTCACAGGAGAGAGAGATGTGCACTCACAGGAGAGAGAGAGAGAGGTGCACTCACAGGAGAGAGAGAGAGGTGCACTCACAGGAGAGAGAGAGGTGCACTCACAGGAGAGAGAGAGAGGTGCACTCACAGGAGAGAGAGGTGCACTCACAGGAGAGAGAGAGGTGCACTCACAGAGAGAGAGAGAGGTGCACTCACAGGAGAGAGAGAGGTGTACTCACAGGAGAGAGAGAGGTGCACTCACAGGAGAGAGAGAGGTGCACTCACAGGAGAGAGAGAGGTGTACTCACAGGAGAGAGAGGTGCACTCACAGGAGAGAGAGAGGTGCACTCACAGGAGAGAGAGAGGTGTACTCACAGGAGAGAGAGAGGTGCACTCACAGGAGAGAGAGAGGTGCACTCACAGGAGAGAGAGAGGCGCACTCACAGGAGAGAGAGAGGTGCACTCACAGGAGAGAGAGGTGTACTCACAGGAGAGAGAGAGGCACACTCACAGGAGAGAGAGAGGTGCACTCACAGGAGAGAGAGAGGTGCACTCACAGGAGAGAGAGAGGTGCACTCACAGGAGAGAGAGAGGTGTACTCACAGGAGAGAGAGAGGTGCACTCACAGGAGAGAGAGAGGTGCACTCACAGGAGAGAGAGAGGTGCACTCACAGGAGAGAGAGAGGTGCACTCACAGGAGAGAGAGGTGCACTCACAGGAGAGAGAGAGGTGCACTCACAGGAGAGAGA